TTTTAATATCTTTTATTGTTTCTGGTATCCTGCAATTTCATAGTGATGTGCCTTAGCGTAAGGGTCATTTTCATTCCTTTTCTGTCTGGAAACTCATCTCTAGTTCTAGATGATTTTCTTGTGTTATTTCTCTGATTTATTTCCCTTCATTTTCTCTTTATGGAATTCTTATTATTCAAGTCCTAGGTTTCCTGGATTTATCTTCTAGCTTTTTTGTAAAAAATACTTTTCTCCTCTAATTTATCTTTGGCTCATTTTTTTCCCCCTTCCTAGCATACTGAGTTAGAAACAAATGAAAACAAAAACAAAAAACCCAGTCCGTTACCTCCTGAGTGTCTCTTTTGCTCTTACACTACCGCCACACTCACAATACTTCTGACATCAGCTATGTGGGGGCTTTTCCCACAATAAGCAATTCTGTGACACCAGTTAGGTGACCTACAGTTTAACTTAATTGTGACACTATCAACCTGGAGATAGTGTCAGATCCTGCAGGTAAAGGGCTCAGTTCCATGAGGCTGCCCCCACTTCAGATGCCAGTCAAAAGTAGTAAGTCCCAAGTCACTCACAACTTCTGTCCAACTTGGCTATAAATCAGTGATTCCGTGACCCCGCTCCTTGGGTTTGATTAATTTGCTACTGAGACTTACAGAACTCAGGGTAACACGTACTTACATTTACCAGTTTATTAAAGAATATGATGAACAGCCAGATGAAGAGGTACATCAGGCAAGACGTGGGAGGGTTCCAATGGCAGGAACTTCTGTCCCCGTGGAGTTGGGGTGCAGCCACCCTCCTGGTGTATGGATATGTTCACCTACTTGGAAGTTCCCTGAACCCCTGAACTTTTGGGATTTTTATAGAGGCTTCCACACAAAAGCATGACCAATTATTAACTCCATCTCCAGCCCCTCTTTCTTCTCTGGAGGATAGGGTGGGATGGGAATGAAAATTCCACCTTCTAATCATAGTTGGGTCTTTCTGGTGACTAGCTCCCATTCAAGAGCCACCCAGAGTCACCTCATTAAGACAAGAGATGCTCCTTGTGCTCTTATCACTTATGGAAGTACAAAGAGTTTTTAGGAGCTGTGTGCCAGAAACTGGGAATGTGTGTGTGTGTGTGTGTGTGTGTATGTGTATGTGCCAAAAATGTATACACATTCTAAGAAAAGAGAAAAGTATTAAAATTGTAATACTCAATATATACCAATAACAAAAGACAAATACAAGTCACATTTGACTTCTGCAATGACAAGAGGTCCTCAAAGTGGTTTCATCAGCATCCAGACATTTCTGATTATGGTGAACTACTGCTTGAGCAACGTTGAACAAAGTGTCCACTTGTGTGCATTTTTTTGGCACCCTCTGTATGTATGTGTGTGTGTGTGTGTATGTATATGTATTTTAGTTGAATAATAATTTAATACTAATATTATATTAAATTACTATTTAATGATAGAAAAATTATGTGAACATAATGACATGGAAATTTTTGGGGTTTAGAACTAAGAAAAATATGATGAAAAGTTTTTTTCCTCCCCTGTTGTTGAACAGAAACTTCCTGCCTAGGGATCACAGCAGGGTAAGCACACATCAGGATTTGCAAGTAACTTTGAAGCCTTCACAGTTAAGGTGCCATGTGACTT